ATAAATAACCCCTCGCTTTGCTTCATAAAAAGATTGTTACTCCTTACGATCGAGCACTTGTTTTTCACTAGAGCTCACATTTTTCTCCCGTAACCCAAAGATTCTAAAGAAGAAGTTTTAGGGTAACTAAGATGAGTTCGACGAGCCGAGCTTGGATCGCAGCCAGCCAGTATTGAGTAGTTGTGGCCTTGAAAGATCAAGGCTTCTGCAGATGGAACTATGCTACAAGATCAATACAACAACATACTGAATAATCTTTGGTCAATTTCACAGTGAAGACTCTCTTCCACATCTTCTGCGGTGGTTTCAAGTGAGTCAAAAGAGGTGAAGCAGACACTGAGTCTTTGAGGAAGTTATGTACTTGAGTAATTGGGGTCCATATTGAAAGCTAAGTAATTAAAGATCAGGATGATTGATCGATACTTCAGTGAAAGAAAATATCGTATCTGGATATTTAAAGAAAATTATGCAGCGAGCGAATTCATCAAGTCACATAAGATAGAATTGCAGCTGGACGGGCCATGGTTTTTTTTTTCATATATACAACTAAGGAATCGATGTGTGATTGTGCGGCAAATTGATCAATGACGTATATTGTAAATCTAATGGAAACGATTATCAATAACTTTACCGATGATTACATTAGCTTCTTGGAATTAATCTTCTTTTAATTTATGATTTTATACTCACTTTATTTTTTATATGTTTGGACAAAATTGTGACTCTGTAATTAGCCCTGTTCATGGTAGCTCTCTCAATTTGTTAATCCCTCGTAAGTTGGGCTCTTTAGCAAGTAAGACATATCGACCTTGAGCTTTATGTTGTTTCTTCGTAAAGTTGACTCACATAACTGGTCAAGAAATCTAAATAAAACTTCACACATACGGTAATTCTTGAGGCCTAACGAATGAGAACTTAAATCAAAAGCCATTCAAGTCTCAGTACCAGTGACCCATCAGCTAGACTCCAGGAGTTAGTTAAAGAGATCAAGACTGCACGGCTTAGTTAAATAGCTCTGCCTAAGTGTGTGTTGCCCAAAACCATAAGGCTGTTAAGAAAAATTATCAAACTCCTTGAAAAATTTAGCTATAAGAAATGTTTTGAGTCTTTTGACACTATAAAAACGCTCCAAAAACTGCATATACTTGAGTAGTACTGAAACCAATGTTTTAAAACCCAGCCCACCCGCGGTTGAACCAGTTGAACCGGGACTCAGCCAGTCAGCCGGGCCGGGTGAGCCTAATACTGGCAAATTACTCTGCCCAGCTGTGACCCGCGTTGGTGGGGTGCTGTCACCCACCGTCCAACCGGTGATTTACACAAACCGGGTCATGCATATTAATACAAAATTAAAAAATAAAAATATTAAATTTAATAAATACTAAAACTAAAGTACTAACACTTAAACAGTATCACTTTTCCCCCCATTTGACATTTCACGCACTTCTTCCCTCTCTTTCGTCTGAAAACTCTGAACTCTGAACTGAACCATTTTGCATTTTCATCATCCACGAGTCTCCCCTTCACCAGTCACCTTCGAATCTGGTGCATTAGCCTTCACCGTCAACTGTATAGCGTCGTCAGCTGGGGTACCGTGCGAATAATCTCCCATTTCGCGATCTGTTCCAGTCCTTCTCTTCACCGCCAATTTGCTATGTTCTTCCGTCACCGTCGATCTGGAAGCTACACCATCGTTGCCTCTTCTTCTTGCTCAGGAACTGACGAACTGTGGCAATCGCGATCTCTTCTTCTCTTCTGCAATGTGCAGTTCTGCTCTGTTCAGTGTTCCTGTTCATCAGTCGTAGTCGAGCTCCACCTCTCCACGGTCAACGGTAGCTCGTCTTCAGTCTCACCAACACGAGGTATTGATTTGTATTTTCATTTTTAGTTTTTTACTACAAGTTTATAGTTTTAGTTTATAAACTTTATATTGCCGTTTGTAATCAGCAAGGTCCCCATGGTCTCAGCATTGATTGACTTGTTATGTGATCTGTAATTTTCTTTTAGCTCTTTTCGTGGTAATTTGATGTTATCTGTTCATATTGTGATTGTAGCATTTAGTTTTAGGTTGATTGACTTCATTTGTGATGCTGATATTATATACTTCTTGATATGTGTACCCTATTCCTTGATGCTTCTTGTATGCTTAATATTGAGGGATTCAGTGCTTTAGCTTAACAATGTGTTGTTATTCATCCTCTTGTTGGATAATTAATACAGGAAGGTTGTGGTAATGTTTGTGTTGAGAGGGAAGGTCTTTACAACTTTAGAATCATATTGATATGCACTGTAAACTCCAGGAATTTTTTATGGAAATGTATAGCTACAGCAATGGCATGATACTGATTTGGTCTTGTCTCGTCTTAACATCAGTTTCTTCTATTGATAGTATGAGTGATTGCAAAGTGTTTGTGTGTGAAAAATGATTGATTAGTTTGCTCTCTGAATTGTTGTAACTTGTAAGTTGTAAGTTTGTTTTGTTTCAGTTCAGTCAGTTCACTACATTAGCTTACATATATATTTTGATGTTACAGCCTATCGGTTGAGATGGACCTAGAATAGATCTTTAAATTTGATAATTTGATTGTAACAGATCATCCATCCTTATTTGTTATTTGTGTCACCAAGGTACATATTAAGATTAAAGACAAAGAATATGTCATCATCTGGTTCTTGTCATCAATCTGCTTCCATGGATGTTTCACAAACTTTTCGAGGAAGAAATGATATAGCATGGGGACATGTTAATGAGGCGTAGATGAAAATGGGAAGAAGATATTAACATGTCTTTACTGTGGCAAGATAATAGAGGTGGAGGAATTTATCGAGTGAAATTGCATCTAGCGAGTATAAAGGGAAAGTTGGAAAGTGCCCTAAAGTTCCTTTCGTGTTAATTCAAGATTGGAGAAGCACTAAATGAAATTGGGGCCAAGAACAAACAGTTGAACTTCGTAAGAATGTCAATCCTTATGGAGCTAGTGTACAACAAGAAGAGGGTGATATGTTAGTATGAAGATCAAGAGTGTGAAGAGGTTTTTCCATGTCCAGCTCCAGCCCACTTCAATTTCAAGCTCTAAGAGAAAAAAAATCTATTGGGATATGTGACTATTTTGCTCTGAGGACTAAGGCTAGGTCTCAGCCCTCATTAGGAGTGTTTTAGCCGGAAAAGAAGCTATGGAGAGCGACATGGCTGTTGCAAGGTTATTTAATGATTCTTGCATCTCAAAATGTTAATTCAATTTATTTTCAACATATGGCGGATTTTATAGCTGCAATTGGTCCTGGGTATACAATCCCAACTTATCATAATTTGCGTGTAAATTTATTGAGAGATGCAAGGAAAGAAGTGCAATTACTTGTTATAGTTACAAAAACTTAGGAGGATGTTGGATGTACTTTAATGGCTGATGGTTGGAAGATAATTCACATAGGTCGTTGATTAATTTCCAAATGTACTTGTCAAAGAGTGTGTTTTGTGAAATCAGTGGATGCTTCAGATGTTGTAAAGGATGCTACAACATTGTGTAGCTTGTTTGAGGAAATAGCTTTATGGGTTGAACCAACAATATTGTCCACCTTGTCACTGCAATGGAGCAATTATAAAGTGGCTAGAAAGTTGTTGACTACAAATATGCAGTATTACTTGGTCTCCTTGTGTGCACATTGCATTAATTTGACGTTGAAAGACAAGTTGAGATGAGTCATATAGTCACCCTTTCGACACGTGCATCTGAGGTTCAAAGTTTGTGTATAATCATTCCTTTGTGCTAGTTTTCTGAGGAAAAAACAGGTTATATACTTTTACTTCATAGTTTATAATTACATTGTCAAGACATATTATATATGTACACTTTTTAATATTTTACTAAGTACTAACATCTATTGTCTATCACTTGAATAGGGTTGGATAAATTATACGCCCAGTTCACCCATTTTGCCACTACTTTCATTGCATTGAGCGCCTACATCGGCACAAACATGACTTGCAATCTACAGTGACGATATAGAACTTTTGTGGAGTCTCGATATGCAAAAACTATAAAGGCAAAGCCTTTATTCCATAGTTCTAGATAACCGGTTCTGGGATGACATTGGTATAATTTCCAAAGTTGTGAGTCCATTGATGCGTATGCTTCGGATTATAGACTCAGATGAGAGGCCTTCAATAGGAATGTGTATTATGCATGTACAGAACGGGATGGGATCAAGAAGCTGTTTAAGAACAAAAAAAATTGTACAGCCTATACACAATTATTAAGAAGCGTTGGATAGGATGTTGGCGCCATGATATTCATGCAGCACATATTATTTGAATCCTGCTTTCAAATATGACGAAGATACTTTTTCCAAAAAACCTGAGTCATGTATGGTTTTCTTGACACATTGACAATAAAGCAGGTGCATTCAAAATGAGCAAGACAAAGTTACTAGAGGAGAGTAGATTATATCGAGACCGTCTGGAAAGCTTTTCTCATGAGCTTGCTCTTCAAACTTGCAAAACTACACGGCCGGGTATGTAATAGTTTTTAACTTTTTAAGTCTAATTTTTAAGTTTATAAATTGTGTTTATTTCTTATGTAATTTATACTTTTATCTCAATAGATGAATGGTGAGGACATTTGGCCATAATGCTCCAAATTTGCAAAGTTTGCAATCAAAATTCTAAGTCAACTTCGGCCTCTTCCGGATGTGATTGAATTGGATGTTTTTGAACACATCATAAAAAAGCGGAACAGATTGGAGAATCCACGGTTGAATGATTGGGTTTTCACTCATTATAACTTGCATTTGCAAAATAGGTATAAAGCCTTCTTCATTTTTTTATTTATTGATGTCTTTATTGGTCATGATTTGAATATTTAATTCTTCTATTTCAGGGGTTGTTACAGAAAATTCATATGATCCTATTGATTATGAGAGTATTGTAAAACTGAATGGTGGATAGTTGTGAGGAAGAGGAGGGTTGGTGAGCTTAATTACGAAGAATTGGAACATCATATATGGAGAAGGAGCTATTCCTTAATGGTGGTGAATCTGGTGATCACCTTTCTTATTATACTCAGCAGATGCTTCGAAGGTTATTTACAATTTTTTAAGCAATTTCAATTGGTATTATCTAGTTTATATTCAATTAGTTTAAATAGGAAATTTAACTATGGTTTTCTTTTCTTGTTAGAATTTTTATAGATGATGTTGTCAATGTTAATAATGATGGCGATCCTCTACCAGGTGGTGTGTAATTATGAATTGTGAATTTTAATTGAGGATGGAAGATGGATTGAAGACCATTCGTGAGATCATTTTTTGTTAGAATGTTGAAGTGTTGATTTGGAAGTTGAAACTTGAAACAATTTTATGTGATTTTTTATTTTTCTTCATTTATTTTGTTATTTGATTTGAAATTTGTTGTATTATTGATGTAATGATGTATGATAATGCTTTGTTAGGATTTTTTTTTATACTAGAATTATGATTTGGAGCAAAATTTGGGAAATACAGGTTCTGTGAACATTGTTTGCATGATGTCATCATGTTATGTCAATATGATGATGTCACCGATTGAACCAACTGGTTCAACCGGTTAACAGGTCGACCTAGGACCCGACCATCTTGCCGGGTTTTGTCCCGGTCGTTTTTAAAACATTGCTTAAAACACTTTTCGTTTTGTCCCGGGTCGGTTTTTAAAACATTACTTAAAACACTTTTCACCGTAAACTGCTCTCTATGCAACGACAACTTCCCACCCAAAGTTTGGCCTAACAACAGGGTGCCACCCGAAAAGTTTCAAACAGTTTCCCACCCATCCATCCAATTTCTCCTTTAATTTCAACTACAAAAGATAGAATGGTAATTTCAAAAAACAAATTAAAGGATATTATTCCTTTTATCCCCAATATATAACCTTGAAAAACAAACCCCAATTTTCTCTTCTTCTCTTTCCTTTCTCATCGCACCAGCCGCTTTATGTCTTCACCTTCTCTTTTCTTTTCTTTCTTCTTTTTCTCTCTTCCTTTCCTTTTTCTTCTCTTCTTATCTTTCCTCACTGTGGCAGTGCCGTTGCTACCAGATCTAGACGACACTGAGGCCCTTGCATTGGCCCAGAGACACATGTCGGCTTGATTTGTCCGACCGAGAAGCTTTTTTGTCGGCCAAACTGAGTCAAGCCAACTTGACCGAGAGAAGACTTGATTATTTGATTGCTTTTTTTTATATGATTTTTCTTGATTGATGATTGTTATGTGTTCGGTAATTGTGTTGAGAAGAATTGAAGTTTGGTTTTTGGTTTGGGATGGTTTTGCTTAGGGGGAAGGTGACTAGCGGCCACGTGTATTTCCAGACGGTGTCAAAACTGTGACTTCGGTGGTGGGGGAGATAATCGGTTAATTGAATTGACATTAGATTAAGAAGGATTGAACATGACGGCTTGAATAAGGCCATGTGTCACCCTACACCGCCCCATTTAGTTGATGATATGATGATGATCATGGTGATGATGTGGATCCTTATGGCAGTTTGTGATGAACAGAAAAGAACTCTTGAAATTAAGACATCTTGATTCTTGAAGATCCTGATAATTTTTTTTTTTTTTTTTCATTTCAAGTTTTGTTTTTATGAATTTTACAAGTGAGTTTGATTTTGTTTTTTATTCATTTGAAGATTCTTCGATGATCTGCTTCTATTTTGGCAGACATGGATATACATACAAAGTTTTAAATTAATTTTTTTATGGGAAACTTTTGTTTTTTCTTGTTTGTTCAGTGATTGAAGTTCAAACTTGACATATTTGAGTTGGGTGGGTTTGTGAATCAATTGAGGAAGCATTCATCAATCATGTCAGAAGATTAGTGAAGCATCTTGTTAGGTTACCAAAATTTAAAAAAAAAAAAAAAAAAAAAAAAAAACTGAATTTGTCATTTTTTTCCTTCTGTAGTTTGAAATTAACAGAGAAATTGGATGGCTGGGTGGAGACTCTATCATTTTGAAACTTTTCAGGTGGCAACTTGTCGTTAGGCCAAGCCTCGGGTGGGAAGTTGTCGTTCGCCCTTAATTTTATTAAGCATCTATTGTCCTCTACCAAGAAAATTAATTAATTAGAAAATAAGAGAGAAAAGTTTATATTGTATTTGTTATGAATCATTGGAAACTTGGCTCACATTATTAAATTTAGTCCTCATTTCTTTACCAAAATGTTTGTCGCATAACTAGCACTAATTAACTTATAATTAGACACTAGGCATCCTTCTCAGTTTTTAAAAGTACCTGTGGTTTCTTTTCCCATTCTTCGGGCTTAAGTGGATTTTAATTAAGAAAAACCAGGTGCGCTTTACCAGAATTTCTTTGTCGTCATGTTCCTAAAAACCCATTTTGTCCTCACTGACTAAGACTAAACAGAAGTTCTACAAGGACATCAAGTCATATTACATGAATTTCCCATCTACCGACTCAAAAATCCATTGGCTTTGTTTGCTAAACCACCGGCAAAAATGCAGCCACTGGTTTATTTCCAAACTTTGGCTTTACTTTATACTATCCCAGCGTCCTCCCTATATAACAAGAAACCTCGTGCCAATTAGCCATCGGAGTACAGAGTCTTTACAAAGAAACCAGAGAAGATTTTCTGAAGAAAACATTGAAGATGAGTTCAACAAGCAAGCTTGGATTGTGCCAGCCAGTGTTGCAGCGTTGAAGCCTTGAAAGATCAAGGGTTCTGCAGATGGAACTACACCATCAGATCATTACACCAACATGCCAAGAACAATATCAGATCAGTTTCTCAGTCGTCCAAGAATTTGCTTCTTCATCTTCTGCTGTGGTTTCAAGCAAATTAGCAGATCAGAAAAACAACTTGTAAAAACACTCATTACATTGACCTCAAATGTATAAATGGGCACCTCTCTTCACGAAAGAGGGGGTGGCATATGAGAGTTGGGCACAAATTTGAGCTTCGTTATTTTTCTCTGTAAAAGTATTTCTTCATTTTTGTACACCTTACAGGCAATATCAAAAAATAATCAAAGAATAATAAAATAACAGTGGATGTAGGATTCGCTTTAAGCATCCGAACCACTATAAAAATCTCTCTTGTCAATATATTATTTATGTTTTTGCAAACAGATATAATCTCTACACCATAATCAACTCTCATAATCATTCACGTGTAATTTCTAAGACTTTCTTAGCACTTTACACATGCAAGTCGTTGGTGTCAAAATCACGCATCAATAGTTTGACGCTAGAGGAAGGGCATGATTCACATCAACTCTCAATATTTTTCCAGATAAAGTCTGAATTTGGTGCAGTGGTAAATGCAAGAGTTGTAGCCCTTCGAGTTAGCTTTCCGATGGTCCAAGAACTATCCAAATCTGAGGTCTACAGCTCAAGTTATCGTCAAAATACTGAAGCCTGTTCCACATCAAAGCACTCAGATTGCGTGGTCATATTGCTCCGATCTTCAGGTTCAGATCGCGCACTCAGATCTCCCAAATCGCGCACATCAGAGCTCTCAAATCACGGGCCAGATCTCCCAGATCGTATGCATCAGAGCTCTCAAATAGCGTGACCAGATCACTTTGATCTTCAACTTTAGATCACGCGCTCAAATCTCTTAGATCATGCGCATCATAGCTCTCAGATCGCATGACCAGATTGTCCAGATCGCACGCATCAAAGCTCTTAGATCATGCTGTTGAGCAGCCAGATCGTGCTTCCGAGCACTCAGATCGTGCTCCCGAACGGCTAGATCGTGCTTCCGAGCACTCAGATTGTGCTCCCAAGCAACCAAATTGTGCTTCCAAGCACTCAGATTGCACTCCTGAGCGACCAGATCGTGTTTCTGAGCACCCAAATCGCACTTCCAAGTGCCTAGATCGCTGATCTCGAGTTCTCAGATCAAGCTTCGTGCTTTCTGATCGAACTCCTGGTGTTCTTAGATCAAGCTTCGCACTTTCTAATCGAACTCTTTGTATTATATGCTTTCTAATCGAACTCTTTGTGCTCTCAGATCGCAAAGAGATCTCAAGCTCTCATATCTCAAAGAGCTCTCGAGTTCTCAGATCAAGCTTCGCACTTTCTGATCAAACTCTTGTTTTTTGATTGAACTCCTTATGCTCTCAAATTGCAAAGAGCTCTGGAGTTCTCAGATCGAGCTCCTTATGATCTCAGATCGAGCTTTTTATGCTCTCTAATCAAGTTCTTTATGTTTTCTGATTGAGCTCATAAGCTCGCTCATTTGCTTGAGATCACATGCATAAATCGAGCTCTTTAAGCTTTCAGAACACGCACTCTAGATCCAGCTCTGTGCCTTGAGATCGTGCATCGGATCTTTCAGATCACACACCCCAAGCTCTCAAATCGAGCCCCTATCATATCGCGATCAACTCCTAACTCTCAAATTGCGCGTGATCAATTCTCAGCTTTGAGATTGCGAATAGCCTCAAACTGTGTTCTTAGCTTTCAAATCGCGATCAGTTCTCAGATCGCAACCAGCTGCCAGTGTTAGAAAAAAACATGTAGAAAACTCAAAACAACCCCAAAACATGTCGAAATGATGGATTTTGGCCCTGAAAAATGGTCCCAACAAGGTTTCCTAATTGTCATGATGTAGAGCTCGAAACAAGGTTTCCGTGGATATCTTACGGGCTCCAAAACTCCTCATAGATCAAAAGTTATGGCTGTTTTAAGTTGGCTTGTCTGTTCAGGACCTCTAAGCCACGCGTTTGGGCTTCTAACGCTCAGCTCTCTCCAGGAATAATCTACTAGACATTTTATGTCAGTTATTAGATCGTGATTAGCTTTGGATCACTCTAAGCTCTCAGATCGCAATCCTAGCTCTCAACACTCAATCATGTCAGGCATAGTTTGAGCTCTTTAGTTCGAGACTGTAGCCTATAGTGTAACAGCCATTTAGATCTAATACATGAGTTTTTGAAGTGCAATTACGCACTCCAAAAACTAGGGGGGTTCTGTTGTGCCAAAAATACACACTAATGTCAGCACTACCAATTAGAGCTTAACAAACACTCAAAGACAAAGTGGTATTAGCTGTTAAAACCCAAATTGCCTCAAAGAGATACTTTATATCAATCCTATCCCATTTTAAGATAAAAATTAAAGAGTGGTCCCCATGTGTCAAGAGAACTTGCAAAATCACTCGTTACATTGATCTTAAAGGTATAAATGGACACCTTTCTTCACGAAAGAAAGGGCTGGACATATGAGAGTTGGGCACAAATTTGAGCTTCATTATTTTTCTCTATAAACAAAGTATTTCTTCATTTTTGTACGCCTTACAGGTAGTATCTTAAAAATAGTCAGAGAATAATAAAATAACAATGGATATAGGATTCGCTTTAAACATCCGAACCACTATAGAAATCTCTCTTATCAATCTATTATTTCTGGTTTTGCAAACATATATAATCGCTGCACCATAATCAACTCTCGTAATCATTCATGTAATTTCTAAGACTTTTTTGACATTTTGTACGTGCGAATCGTTGGTGTCAAAATTACACTTCAACACTATAAATTAAGATAATTCTTATTAAAATTCCTAAGTCAAAAGTGGTGTTAGGATCACAATTTGGACAGAACCTTTACATAAAAGAGAATAAAAATGGTCATCAGTATCCCTATTTGAATCCTATTTGAATTTCTATACTCAGATTCTCATGACTAATTGATAGTGGAGTTAATTCTTAATTCATAAAATCTATAATTTATTATTAATTCATGTTGATGCTTAATTTTAACACTAACGATATTGTACGTGCAAAGTGTTAAGAGAGTCTTAGAAATTATATGTGATATGATTGTGAGAGTTAATTATGATGCTGAGATGATATATGTTTGAAGAAACATAAATAAAAGATTGACAAGAGAGATTTTTATAGTGGTTCAGATGCTTAAAACGAATCCTACATCCACTGTTATTTTATTATTCTCCAACTATTTTTCTGATATCGCCTATAAGGCATACAAAAATGAAGTAATGTTTTGTTTACAGAGAAGAATAATGGCAAAAGCTCAAGTATATACCTAACTCTCATATGTCCAGCCTCTCTTTTTTATGAAGAGAGCTATCCATTTATACACCTTTGAGCTCAACGTAATGAGTGCTTTTGCAAGTTGTCTTAACACATGGAGAGCTCTCATTCATCTAGATCCTTTATTTTGATAAAAGGTGGGACATATATTATATAATATTTCTTTGAGACGGTTTAGGTTTTGATAACTAATACCCTTTACCCTTAAGTGCTTGTTGAGCTCTGATTAGCGGTACTGATGTCAATGTATATTTTTTAGGCATAGCAATTCAAGAATTCAAAATGCTATACCAAGAGGTTTCATTTTTATATTAAAATTTAAAAGTAAATATTTCAATATACTTTAAAATAATTGTAAATCAAGTACAATAGCAAAACTAGATATTTAGGCCCAAAGTTTTTGTAGTGGTCATGGACGGTGGACTATCTAAAGCTCACCAGAGGAACATAACTTGTGGTATAAGCCTACAAGCTAAAGCATGGGTAGCTATATATGTGTCAATCTTATCCGAACGACTCAAACGTACGTGTCTATGGTATCCATTTATTCACATGGATATGTGCCTTGTGCTCCAATGAATGTTGGTGCAACGTGCTTAGCATCTTTCTAAATCTGTACCAGTCTTAATTAATTATAGTAAAGTAATAAGGAGAAATAATGGCAAGGACAATTATTTATATTTTAGTAGTCGGGACTGTAATAGTGTAATTTAAAAAGAGCGCTCCATGAAAGATTGAGGCTGATAAAAGTAAGGACTTATCTTCTCTGTCATTCATTGTTGTTCCTTTTTATGACCGAATCTTGCCAGTAGGGTGGAGGTGCATGTGGCTGCTGCCTGCTGGTGGTGCTGTTCAATTAAATTACAACGGGAAAGACGGTAATACGTGTTCACTCATCCAATTTAATAATATTCTCCAATCACAAGTAACTTTGAACTTTCTCTTCTAATATAGTGCGGTTAAAACTTAAAAGCAACATAATATCAAGGATCGATGGAAGGGATCTTGCCAAGTGGTTTAGTACTTGAAGATCTTTGAATGAACTAAATAAATTATTCTAAACTACTTATGGAAAGCGCTCTTGAAACCAGGAACTTTATATGGCAAAACCGCTTTTCTTTTTCTTTTCCTGGTTATTCACCCACTATATATATATATATATGTATATCGAACTACATTTCCAAGAGCAATGGCCATCCACTTGTATATCAACCATTACAATCCAGTTTATTTCTGACTAACAAGATCCTCTTTCTCTTTCTTTCCCAAAAGTACTTGAGTTTGTTTGGGGAACTGGAGATGTTTAGGAACAAAAGCCGGGAATTCTTTCAATTAGGATCTCAGGTAATGCATGGAAGCAAGGACCAAGCTTCCAGAAGTGACTCTGGTTGTACATCATCTTGTTCTTCTGAGCATGTGAGTAGGTTTTCAGAAGCTTCTAATACCAGAAATTGCAATAATGTTTCTAAAGGTAGTGATGCTAACAAGCTTAAACAAGCTGAGGAGTCTCTCAGGACTGTGATGTACCTGAGTTGCTGGGGACCTAATTAAGTTTTTCTAGTAGGTGTCCGTACATAATACAAGTTTTCAGTATTATCGATAGCTGCAGTTTCCCGAGGCACATGGAAGCAGCTTAATAGCTTATTGTACATAATGTATGTGGATTGTATATGTATAATTTCAGGAGATTGTAATTTCCCTGGATGACTATGTTTCTTTGTCTAAGTTAATGTGTAAAAAATATATTATCTTGATGAATGCATAATTAAGAAATGTCCCAATCCATTTCAGCAAAGTTCATTACGCTATTTACGTTATAGTTACCTAAAAGAATATATTATGNAGCGGTACTGATGTCAATGTATATTTTTTAGGCATAGCAATTCAAGAATTCAAAATGCTATACCAAGAGGTTTCATTTTTATATTAAAATTTAAAAGTAAATATTTCAATATACTTTAAAATAATTGTAAATCAAGTACAATAGCAAAACTAGATATTTAGGCCCAAAGTTTTTGTAGTGGTCATGGACGGTGGACTATCTAAAGCTCACCAGAGGAACATAACTTGTGGTATAAGCCTACAAGCTAAAGCATGGGTAGCTATAAATGTGTCAATCTTATCCAAACGACTCAAACGTACGTGTCTATGGTATCCATTTATTCACATGGATATGTGCCTTGTGCTCCAATGAATGTTGGTGCAACGTGCTTAGCATCTTTCTAAATCTGTACCAGTCTTAATTAATTATAGTAAAGTAATAAGGAGAAATAATGGCAAGGACAATTATTTATATTTTAGTAGTCGGGACTGTAATAGTGTAATTTAAAAAGAGCGCTCCATGAAAGATTGAGGCTGATAAAAGTAAGGACTTATCTTCTCTGTCATTCATTGTTGTTCCTTTTTATGACCGAATCTTGCCAGTAGGGTGGAGGTGCATGTGGCTGCTGCCTGCTGGTGGTGCTGTTCAATTAAATTACAACGGGAAAGACGGTAATACGTGTTCACTCATCCAATTTAATAATATTCTCCAATCACAAGTAACTTTGAACTTTCTCTTCTAATATAGTGCGGTTAAAACTTAAAAGCAACATAATATCAAGGATCGATGGAAGGGATCTTGCCAAGTGGTTTAGTACTTGAAGATCTTTGAATGAACTAAATAAATTATTCTAAACTACTTATGGAAAGCGCTCTTGAAACCAGGAACTTTATATGGCAAAACCGCTTTTCTTTTTCTTTTCCTGGTTATTCACCCACTATATATATATATATATGTATATCGAACTACATTTCCAAGAGCAATGGCCATCCACTTGTATATCAACCATTCCAATCCAGTTTATTTCTGACTAACAAGATCCTCTTTCTCTTTCTTTCCCAAAAGTACTTGAGTTTGTTTTGGGAACTGGAGATGTTTAGGAACAAAAGCCGGGAATTCTTTCAATTAGGATCTCAGGTAATGCATGGAAGCAAGGACCAAGCTTCCAGAAGTGACTCTGGCTGTACATCATCTTGTTCTTCTGAGCATGTGAGTAGGTTTTCAGAAGCTTCTAATACCAGAAATTGCAACAATGTTTCTAAAGGTAGTGATGCTAACAAGCTTAAACAAGCTGAGGAGTCTCTCAGGACTGTGATGTACCTGAGTTGCTGGGGACCTAATTAAGTTTTTCTAGTACGTGTCCGTACATAATACAAGTTTTGAATATTATCGATAGCTGCAGTTTCCCGAGGCACATGGAAGCAGCTTAATAGCTTATTGTACATAATGTATGTGGATTGTATATGTATAATTTCAGGAGATTGTAATTTCCCTGGATGACTATGTTTCTTTGTCTAAGTTAATGTGTAAAAAATATATTATCTTGATGAATGCATAATTAAGAAATGTCCCAATCCATTTCAGCAAAGTTCATTACGCTATTTACGTTATAGTTACCTAAAAGAATATATTATGATATAATTAACACCTTTTATGCCAAGGGTTGTATGTGTGCAGTGAGGTCAATCTCAGAGCAGTATGCTACGAAATTATAAATGTTATCCATAATCCTCATTTCTCATCTCCTATTTAGGAAGCCCATGAAGCTGCCAGTATCATTGCCCACTTCTCGTTAACATTTATTCCTTTCCACAAATATTGGCCAACCGAACAATTTAAACGCAACCTTGCGGCCCTTGATCAGAAAGTATTTACTCAAGTAGGTAAGGTTTTAAATATTTCATTACAACACCACTGGTTTGACATTAAAGTACACTAGAAAAATTAAAGGAAGGGGAAAATAACAATTTCATCTCTAAGGTTTGGCTTAAGTATGCTTTAGTCTTCTATTTTTTTTCTGGCAATCATTTAATCCCGTATTAAACTATCAGTAACATTTTGATCCCTAACAATGACATTAGCATATCCTAGCGACCAAATTGCAACTAACACTTTCACAGGGACAAAAACTTTACTTGAAAGTTCTGCAAGACTTCACGTTATTTATACCAAACTTCAGGAACGAAATTGTTATTACCCCCTTTGAAAGATTAATTTTGTACTTACAAATGAAAATGATAATGGATATATAATTAATGCTAGCATAATATACAAAAGGTTGGCTTTAGAATTGTATATATCTTTATGCAAAGTAAATTATCCCAAGTAATTTCTAATATCTATTCTCAGGATTCGCCCAAACGTATCGAATATTTATATATATACTTATTTCAAGTTTTTACACTGATTGAACAACAGTTGAAGAAAGCGTAAAAAAGGAAAAGCCAACTACTACGTTGGCCTAACTTGATTACTTGTCATTGAGTCAATCCAACATGGAACTATACATATGGCTGGCTGATTTAATTAGTTATTCAATTCATCAACTCCAAGAAACATCCAGCCAAAATCAGCTCTCTTGTAATTGGGTGCGGGTGCGGCTACCAAGTACGTGTGATAAGCCCCTCTCCAATAATTTACAATCTCAGATACCATTCTACGTAGCAGTTTCCTGATTCACCAGCTGTATACAAAACATGTAAAGATCCACGTGTTTCATCAACCGACATGCAACATGGTGCTTCTCCAAGGCAACACATGCACCGAACCTGAGAAAATTCCCCAGAGAGAAGCCCATTAATCCATGCGCCCACCGGTTTTGAGAGAACCATGAGAACATTTTTCTTACGAGGGGCACTCACAAAGCGTTCGATAATAAAATATTAGACTAGGGATCCTACAACAAGTTGTTTATGATAATTGGCACCCACAAGAGGACAAAGCCCGCCTCTTGTTTTAACAAAACCAATAACCATCACTTAGGCACCAAGAGTGCTGATCTTTTACCTATATATAACCCAACATCCTGAGGACTTGAAAGCATAATCAACTTATCGAACTATCTAGAAGCAAAAGAAGAGAAACTTTAANTATTATCGATAGCTGCAGTTTCCCGAGGCACATGGAAGCAGCTTAATAGCTTATTGTACATAATGTATGTGGATTGTATATGTATAATTTCAGGAGATTGTAATTTCCCTGGATGACTATGTTTCTTTGTCTAAGTTAATGTGTAAAAAATATATTATCTTGATGAATGCATAATTAAGAAATGTCCCAATCCATTTCAGCAAAGTTCATTACGCTATTTACGTTATAGTTACCTAAAAGAATATATTATGATATAATTAACACCTTTTATGCCAAGGGTTGTATGTGTGCAGTGAGGTCAATCTCAGAGCAGTATGCTACGAAATTATAAATGTTATCCATAATCCTCATTTCTCATCTCCTATTTAGGAAGCCCATGAAGCTGCCAGTATCATTGCCCACTTCTCGTTAACATTTATTCCTTTCCACAAATATTGGCCAACCGAACAATTTAAACGCAACCTTGCGGCCCTTGATCAGAAAGTATTTACTCAAGTAGGTAAGGTTTTAAATATTTCATTACAACACCACTGGTTTGACATTAAAGTACACTAGAAAAATTAAAGGAAGGGGAAAATAACAATTTCATCTCTAAGGTTTGGCTTAAGTATGCTTTAGTCTTCTATTTTTTTTCTGGCAATCATTTAATCCCGTATTAAACTATCAGTAACATTTTGATCCCTAACAATGACATTAGCATATCCTAGCGACCAAATTGCAACTAACACTTTCACAGGGACAAAAACTTTACTTGAAAGTTCTGCAAGACTTCACGTTATTTATACCAAACTTCAGGAACGAAATTGTTATTACCCCCTTTGAAAGATTAATTTTGTACTTACAAATGAAAATGATAATGGATATATAATTAATGCTAGCATAATATACAAAAGGTTGGCTTTAGAATTGTATATATCTTTATGCAAAGTAAATTATCCCAAGTAATTTCTAATATCTATTCTCAGGATTCGCCCAAACGTATCGAATATTTATATATATACTTATTTCAAGTTTTTACACTGATTGAACAACAGTTGAAGAAAGCGTAAAAAAGGAAAAGCCAACTACTACGTTGGCCTAACTTGATTACTTGTCATTGAGTCAATCCAACATGGAACTATACATATGGCTGGCTGATTTAATTAGTTATTCAATTCATCAACTCCAAGAAACATCCAGCCAAAATCAGCTCTCTTGTAATTGGGTGCGGGTGCGGCTACCAAGTACGTGTGATAAGCCCCTCTCCAATAATTTACAATCTCAGATACCATTCTACGTAGCAGTTTCCTGATTCACCAGCTGTATACAAAACATGTAAAGATCCACGTGTTTCATCAACCGACATGCAACATGGTGCTTCTCCAAGGCAACACATGCACCGAACCTGAGAAAATTCCCCAGAGAGAAGCCCATTAATCCATGCGCCCACCGGTTTTGAGAGAACCATGAGAACATTTTTCTTACGAGGGGCACTCACAAAGCGTTCGATAATAAAATATTAGACTAGGGATCCTACAACAAGTTGTTTATGATAATTGGCACCCACAAGAGGACAAAGCCCGCCTCTTGTTTTAACAAAACCAATAACCATCACTTAGGCACCAAGAGTGCTGATCTTTTACCTATATATAACCCAACATCCTGAGGACTTGAAAGCATAATCAACTTATCGAACTATCTAGAAGCAAAAGAAGAGAAACTTTAAAAAACAAAAAAACAAAAAAACAAAAAAACAAAAAAAGAAGATTTCGTGAGTTCAAAATGAGTGCAAAAGGCAAAGCTTGGATTGTGGCAGCAAGTATTGGAGCTGTGGAGGCTCTGAAAGATCAAGGCTTCGCTCGTTGGAATTATCCTATAAGGTCCGTGAAGAAGCACGCCGAGACAAATCTCAGAGCATTGGCTCAAGCCAAGAAACTTTCTTCTTCATCTTCTGTTATGGCTTCGAATAAAGTGGGAGACGAGAAAATGAAAGTAGCTGAGGAGTCTCTGAGGAAAGTTATGTACTTGAGCTGTTGGGCTCCCAATTGAGAAGCGAGGAGTTGAAGCCAGAGTTTACCAAATCAATTGAACCCTCTTCACCAACATGTATTTTGGCGACTACTTCTTGATATTTCAGCTTCAAATCAGAGGAAAGAGTTCAGGTTGTAGTTTCCTATAGCGACTAGTGATGTGAGGTCCTAGAAGTGACGAGAAATGTGTACTGCTACAGAAAACAGGACACTCAGAGGAAATCATGTAAAATATAAATTACTTGAATACAAACTTGCTTGAAAGCAAATTATTGATCAGATGATGGATTGATTCCTTTTTTCTTTGAATTTTTTCACAGAGTTTGTTGTTTTATTAATTTCTTTATCGGCTTATTTGGAAGCGTAGATTTAAGTTTAATTTGTTGGAGATTTTGGATAACTCATTGCCTAGCCTAAGTTAAAAACTAAAAATGATGAGTTGCAGAGTTGCAAGCTCTGCCAAGCCAGGCCACTTCATAAACTGGGGATGATTATACAGTTTCTCTGAAAAGTAGATGGATCACTTGCATGTTATTGCAATCTTTGATATAATATAATATGATATAGCATACTGATATCTTCATGGTATAATCAATCTAACAATGAGAATTTTGGTCATTATTCGTAATGATATTAACCAACTATTGAACTTTTATCGTAAGTGGGCGATATTTAAAAGTGAGTTTAAGAGATTTGTTCTGTTCCATTGAGGATTTATAAAATAAATATTGCAATGCCAAATGCTCTATCATTTAATCATTTCTTGAAACACTTCTCTTTGGGTGATTGGGTCAGAGAGATTTAATTTTCCTCGGAATCATGTTAATTTGTTTTATTTGGAAGATACTTGATACTTATCTGATATGTTATATATTAAATGAATATAATTATACACTTGATTGGAAAACAAGGATATATTCAATAGAAATTTTGTCTTGTATATTAAACAGGTAACCGAATCAATTACGAGCTTCGTCAAAAAGTCAGAAAGCGTTATTACTATATGCTTAAGCTATAATCTTTCTTTTATGAAATATGCAAAACTCCGGCCAGACAAGCACAGAGAAATCCCGCAAAATTTTGTTCAAGTCATTTATAAAATTTAATGTACGATCATCGATCATAGTTCTTATCTTAGTTCTTGTCTTCTTGTCATATATATCTATATAATAAATGTGACACTGTTATTTTAGCTGCAAGCTTGCAAATTGCAATCGTCAATAAAACAAATGGCTCTAACATTTAGCTCCAAATATCCGGACTTAAATGGATTTTAATAAAGAAAATAACTGCTTGCGCATTAGCTAACTCAGGTGTCAAGTGGGACATTACTTCGTCGTTTTACGAAGTATACTCAGAAATCCAAATTTAGCCCCAAACGGGAACTAGTTAAATAAACAACAACTAGTCCTGTAAGGGCAATACAGTCATATCAACCTAGAATAAACCACAGGGATACGGCGGGCCTCCTGGAGTCCAAAACCATCCAGAGAAGATATAGCCCCTGGTTTCGCTAAACCTTGAGCACGTTCTACTAAAGTTGTACTCAATACTAACAGCTCCGGTTATATATAAGGAACACTCTTCACAATTTATTCCATCAAAACAAATATCCTGATTAATCGGTTTTATCTTCAACAAAGAATTAATATCCATTTTTATTTAAAGAAATAGACTTAGAAATGAGTTCAACGACAAGAGCTTGGATGGTAGCAGGCAGTATTGCAGCAGTAGAGGCCTTGAAGGATCAAGGATTCTGCAGATGGAACTACACTTTAAGATCAATACACCAACAAGCCAAGAACAATCTCAGACCAGTTGCTCAAGCCAAGAAAATTTCGTCTCCATCTTCTGGTTTGGTTTCAGTTAAGTTGAGAGAAGAGAAGGCAAAGCAGTCAGAGGAGTCTCTGAGAAAAGTCATTTACTTGAGCTGTTGGGGTCCATATTGAACCGAATAATGAACAGGAATCACGAGAGCTTGTGCGGGTGCGGCTATAGCTTCGTCATATATTGATTGAAAGATAGAAATAAGATAAAACGAAGTGAGCCATTAGCCTGATTATTGAATGAATACATCACAAGGATGGCAAATTCTGGAGCCATATTGGCCGTTATTGGTGAGATTCATGTTTGTATATTTTTGCAACAGGGGTGTAAATGTTACAATGTAATGGAGGTTTCAGTATCAAACACAAATATTTTGAATTTAAGAGAGGTTGTTTTTACTTTTCCGAATTAAGTTGGGTATTGAAATTGAGAATTGCCTACAATGGGATTAATGATAATTAATTAAGCGACAAACTTAAGTTCTATCTCTTGGCATGATATTCCGATCGGAAAAACTAAATTACTTTCCATTGTTTTGTAAGTTAAAATGTTATTAAACACGGAAAAAAAACCAGAATCCTATGTAAAATGTTCTTCATGAGCCAGCTTGAGGCTAATTTTGCTAAATTTAGTGTTGAATTCTTTGCGCATGTAATTGGACGTTTTAATACTTTTTATTTTATTTTCTTGGTAGATAAGTTTGTACTTTTCATATTACTTGTAACTATTAATTCCTTTGAAAAAGAACAATAATTAAAATAAAATCTTATTAATTTTAAAATTCATAGAACCATATTCTAAATTACGAGAACTATACATCGATATGCATCTTCATTACATTTTTATGAAATTAGTTAAAACCCTTTCTCCTCATAATTTACTTCTTCTTTTTATAATAAGATATTTATTTAAATCAAAATTGAAAGGAGATGTTGATGCTTGATTTTGACACCAATGACTTCGTGCGGCTAAACAAGTGTTAAAAAATACATGTGGTATGATTTGTAAGTTAGAATAAGGTTATAAACACAGTTGAATGCAAAGACTAAATAATGAACAAGATATGAGATTTTTATTGTGGTTCGGATACTTAAAGCAATTCCTACATCCACTGTTTCTTTTATATAAATGTGTTACAAGAGGTCGCGTATAGCGAATAATGAGCAGAGGTATAATGGTTGTGTATTCAGAGAGAATATTAAGACAGTCTCCTTCTCTTAGGTTGTCTTTGCTATTGATTGTTATGAAAATTAGAGATTCATCGATCCCAAATTTGAGAGGGGGAGTCCTCTATTTATAGCTTATGAATTCAAGGTAATGATTACAAGTCTACAAGTGGGTAGATGTCGTGCAGGTCCTTCTTTGCCTCTCATTGGTTGATAACTTCGGAAATATCTTCAAATTATCTANACAATAATTAAAATAAAATCTTATTAATTTTAAAATTCATAGAACCATATTCTAAATTACGAGAACTATACATCGATATGCATCTTCATTACATTTTTATGAAATTAGTTAAAACCCTTTCTCCTCATAATTTACTTCTTCTTTTTATAATAAGATATTTATTTAAATCAAAATTGAAAGGAGATGTTGATGCTTGATTTTGACACCAATGACTTCGTGCGGCTAAACAAGTGTTAAAAAATACATGTGGTATGATTTGTAAGTTAGAATAAGGTTATAAACACAGTTGAATGCAAAGACTAAATAATGAACAAGATATGAGATTTTTATTGTGGTTCGGATACTTAAAGCAATTCCTACATCCACTGTTTCTTTTATATAAATGTGTTACAAGAGGTCGCGTATAGCGAATAATGAGCAGAGGTATAATGGTTGTGTATTCAGAGAGAATATTAAGACAGTCTCCTTCTCTTAGGTTGTCTTTGCTATTGATTGTTATGAAAATTAGAGATTCATCGATCCCAAATTTGAGAGGGGGAGTCCTCTATTTATAGCTTATGAATTCAAGGTAATGATTACAAGTCTACAAGTGGGTAGATGTCGTGCAGGTCCTTCTTTGCCTCTCATTGGTTGATAACTTCGGAAATATCTTCAAATTATCTAGGGCTTGGACAGGTGTGCAGTCCCCGTTCACTTTTAGACAAAACTTGAATCTGCTGGGTTGGTGACAATCGTATTCTCTCTGTCTTGGGGCGATGTGGCAGATCCTGAATGGTGCAAAGCTTTCTTAAACTCTATTTGGTACTTGTTGATGTAAGCTTACGTCAATGATGCGTGTTTTCATAAGCATGCAAATGTAGCAAATGCACTAGTCGCAACAAGTAATAGAATGATAAGTAGAGTATCGTTCCTATGAGGATTGCGTGTCAAGTACTAATTTTCCTAATTTGTATCAAGTTGGAGTAAACGAAAAATGGTTGGATTTGTGGGAGACAATTAAGTTGAAGTTAAAACAAAATCAACAACATAATTTAAAATCCAACTAATGAAGGCAATATCAATTCAAGACAAAGCGGTTAGGGTTTTGACTTCACTAGGATTTTCTGGTTTAGTTTATGATTTCTTTTGCTTCTAAGTTCATATGCAAGGATTATAAATCAAACACCCTAATCTATAGAATATATCTTCTTAGGCTATATTCTGCTACTTATCCCTACTAAGCTTCTGCACCCTACAAATTGAAGGTTAATAATTCTAAGTCCATTAAGCTAAGTGGAATCCTAAATTGATTTCATGGATCTCCGAACCTATCTCTAGCGTTCAATCAATCAATGGTATTTACTCTAAGAGGCTAATACATGAATCACTTCTCAGTCTCATCATGCTCAACAATTAATTGCAATTAGAACAAGAATAAATACATAATCCAAGCAATAGAATGTGAAAGCAATATCAATTTATAGATTAGACATTAAAATCTCAATTACATCAAAACCCTAACCCAAAAGTAAGTTAGTTCATACTCAAAATAAAGCAACTCATAAGAAAAACTATAAAAATAGAGTTCAACATGCTAGAAAAAGGAAAGAAGAATAAAATCTTCCCTATTTGATGAACCCAAAGGCTTCCAATCTCCATTTTTTCTCTTCTCCCCTCCAAATAGCGTCGAACCCCTTTTAAAATGAACAAGTCCCTCTTAAATAGTCGACCCCAAAACCCTCAGACTTATCCAATACAATTAAAACGCACAGTTTTAGCAAACTGAAATATTGCAGTTTTCGCAGCGGCTAACTTTTTTGAAATTACGAAACTGCCCTCCGTTTGCTTCTTTGCTTGAATCTTCAATCTTCGTGATCCCTGATAGGAACAAGCTTCATAGTGCTTCCAGTCCGCATCAGAATTTTCCCGATTCCTGAAATTCGCTTGATTCTGGGTCTAGAAACTCAATTCCGCTCGGTTTTGCTCTAATTGCGCGTTTTGGCCTGAAACGTAAAATATATGAAATTAAGTTACAATTTAGGTACAAATTTAAGACGAAGTATCCAAAATCTAGCCAAAAAGCATAGATAAAACAGTATAATCCTAAGATTAACCCTAAGTTTTTAGACATAATTGGAGATAAACATAAATATACGCTACTTACGTACTTAAATGATGCTCAATTTTGGACTCAAAGAAATGACACATAATCCAAGTATCTATTTTTGACTTGTTGTCATGAAGTAATCAAGTATTGAGCTAATGCGACAACACTTATACGCAAGATTGTAAGGCAATGCTATCCTTTTAGCCCCCGGTCTTAAGAACCAAGCAGTTTTTGCTCCCAAACTCTGGGCTTGGAAGGATTATTATCAAGGAAACCGCGTACATAATAGACAGTCACCCAAGTGGCTTCACATCATGGCCCCCATCGTCACTAAAAACATAGCTTAAATGTTACATGATGATTAGTGTGACAAAGGCACAAAGCTGTGTCCCACTCATGTACTTATCTATATGCTGGGTTCTTTTATATTCCAAAACCACTCTTCAAAACATAACATCTGGTTTTACGCCTAGTCCCGTACTACACTAGTACATAGCTTTATAAATAACCCCTCGTCTGTTGCTTCATTAAAAAGATTGTTACTCCTTACGAGTTACGAGCACTTGTTTTTCACTAGAGCTCACAGTTTGTTCTCCGTAACCCAAAGATTCTAAAAGAAGAAGTTTTAGGGTAACTAAGATGAGTTCGACGAGCCGAGCTTGGATCGCAGCAGCCAGTATTGCAGTAGTTGTGGCCTTGAAAGATCAAGGCTTCTGCAGATGGAACTATGCTACAAGATCAATACAACAACATACTAAGAATAATCTCTGGTCAATTTCACAGGCTAAGAAGCTCTCTTCCACATCTTCTGCGGTGGTTTCAAGTGAAGTCAGAAGAGGTGAAGCAGACACTGAGTCTTTGAGGAAAGTTATGTACTTGAGTAATTGGGGTCCATATTGAAAGCTAAGTAATTAAAGATCAGGATGATTGATCGATACTTCAGTGAAAGGAAAATATCGTATCTGGATATTTAAAGAAAATTAATGCATGCTGAGCGAATTCATCAAGTCACATAAGGATAGAATTGCAGCTGGACGGGCCATGGTTTTTTTTTTTTTCATATATACAACTAAGGACATCGATGTGTGATTGTGCGGCAAATTGATCAATGACGTATATTGTAAATCTAATGGAAACGGATTATCAATAACTTTACCGATGATTACAGTTAGCTTCTTGGAAATTAATCTTCTTTTAATTTATGATTTTTATACTCACTTTATTTTTTTATATGTTTGGACAAAATTGTGACTCTGTAATTAGCCCTGTTCATGGTAGCTTCTCAATTTGTTAATCCGCTCGTAAGTTGGGCTACTTTAGCAAAGTAAGACATAATCGACCTTGAGGCTTTATGTTGTTTCTTCGTAAAGTTGACTCACATAACTGGTCAAGAAATCTAAATAAAACTTCACACATACGGTAATTCTTGAGGCCTAACGAATGAAGAACTTAAATCAAAAGCCATTCAAGTCTCAGTACCAGTCGACCCATCAGCTAGACCTCCAGGAGTTAGTTAAAGAGATCAAGACTGCACGTCTTAGTTAAATAGCTCTGCCTAAGTGTGTGTTGCCCAAAACCATGAAGCTGTTAAGAAAAATTATCAAACTCCTTGAAAAATATTTAGCTATAAGAAATGGTTTGAGTCTTTTGACACTAATAAAAACGCTCCAAAAAACTGCATATACTTGAGTAGTACTGAAAACCAATGTTTTAAAACCCAGCCCGACCCGGCCGGTTGAACCAGTTGAACCGGGACTCAGCCAGTCAGCCGGGCCGGGTGAGCCTAATAACTGGCAGAATTACTCTGCCCAGCTTGACCCGCGGTTGGACTGGGGTGCTGTAGCACCCACCGGTCCAACCGGTGATTTTACAGCAAACCGGGTCATGCATATTAATACAAAATTTAAAAAATAAAAATATTAAATTTAATAAATACTAAAACTAAAGTACTAAACACTTAAACAGTATCAACATTTCCCCCCATTTTGACATTTTCACGCTACTTCTTCCCTCTCTTTCGTCTGAAAACTCTGAACTCTGAACTGAACCATTTTGCATTTTCATCATCCACGAGTCTCCCCTTCACCAGTTCACCTTCGAATCTGGTCGCATTAGCCTTCACCGTCAACTGTATAGCTCGTCGTCAGCTGGGGTACCGTGCGAATAATCTCCCATTTCGCGATCTGTTCCCAGTCCTCTCTTCACCGCCAATTTGCTATGTTCTTCCGTCACCGTCGATCTGGAAGCTACACCATCGTTGTCATCTTCTTCTTGCTCAGGAACTGACGAACTGTGGGCAATCGCGATCTCTTCTTCTCTTCTGCAATGTGCAGTTCTGCTCTGTTCAGTGTTCCTGTTCATCAGTCGTAGTCGAGCTCCACCTCTCCAACGGTCAACGGTAGCTCGTCTTCAGTCTCACCAACACGAGGTATTGATTTGTATTTTCATTTTTAGTTTTTTACTACAATGTTTATAGTTTATAGTTTATAAACTTTATATTGCCGTTTGTAATCAGCAAGAGTCCCCATTGTCTCAGCATTGATTGACTTGTTATGTGATCTGTAATTTTCTTTTAGCTCTTTTCGTGGTAATTTGATGTTATCTGTTCATATTGTGATTGTAGCATTTAGTTTTAGGTTGATTGACTTCATTTGTGATGCTGATATTATATACTTCTTGATATGTGTATCCCTAGTCCTTGATGCTTCTTGTATGCTTAATATTGAGGGGATTCAGTGCTTTAGCTTAACAATGTGTTGTTATTCATCCTCTTGTTGGATAATTAATACAGGGGAAGGTTGTGGTAATGTTGGTGTGGGAGAGGGAAGGTCTTTACAACTTTAGAATCATATTGATATGCTACCGTAAACTCCATGAATTTTTTTATGGAAATGTTATAGCTACAGCAATGGCATGATACTGATTTGGTCTTGTCTCTGTCGTAACATCAGTTTCTTCTATTGATAGTATGAGTGATTGCAAAGTGTTTGTGGTGAAAAATGATTGATTAGTTGCTCTCTGAATTGTTGTAACTTGTAAGTTGTAAGTTTGTTTGTTTCAGTTCAGTCAGTTCACTACATTAGCTTACATATATATTTTGATGTTACAGCCTATCGGTTGAGATGGGACCTAGAATAGATCTTTAAAGTTTGATAATTTGATTGTAACAGATCATCCATCCTTATTTGTTATTTGTGTCACCAAGGTACATATTAAGATTAAAGACAAAGAATATGTCATCATCTGGGTCTTGTCATCAATCTGCTTCCATGGATGTTTCACAAACTTTTCGAGGAAGAAATGATATAGCATGGGGACATGTTAATGAGGGCGTTGATGAAAATGGGAAGAAGATATTAACATGTCTTTACTGTGGCAAGATAATTAGAGGTGGAGGAATTTATCGAGTGAAATTGCATCTAGCGAGTATAAAGGGAAAAGTTGGAAAGTGCCCTAAAGTTCCTTTCGATGTTAAATTCAAGATTGGAGAAGCACTAAATGAAATTGGGGCCAAGAATAATCAAAAAGTTGAACTTCTTAAGAATGTCAATCCTTATGGAGCTAGTGTACAACAAGAAGAGGGTGATATGTTAGATGAAGATCAAGAGTGTGAAGAGGTTTTTCCATGTCCAGCTCCAGCTCCAACTTCAATTTCAAGCTCTAAGAGAAAAAAAATCTATTGGGATATGTGACTATTTTGCTCTGAGGACTAAGGCTAGGTCTCAGCCCTCAATTAGGAGTGTTTTAGCCGGAAAAGAAGCTAAGTGGAGAGCGGACATGGCTGTTGCAAGGTTATTTTATGATTCTTGCATCTCAACTAATGTTATTAATTCAATTTATTTTCAACATATGGCGGATGTTATAGCTGCAATTGGTCCTGGGTATAAAATCCCAACTTATCATAATTTGCGTGTAAATTTATTGAGAGATGCAAGGAAAGAAGTGCAATTACTTGTTGATAGTTACAAGAAAACTTGGGAGGATGTTGGATGTACTTTAATGGCTGATGGTTGGACAGATAATTCACATAGGTCGTTGATTAATTTCCTAGTATACTGTCCTAAAGGAGTGTGTTTTGTGAAATCAGTGGATGCTTCAGATGTTGTAAAGGATGCTACAACATTGTGTAGCTTGTTTGAGGAAATAGCTTTATGGGTTGGACCAAACAATATTGTCCATCTTGTCACTGACAATGGAGCAAATTATAAAGTGGCTAGAAAGTTGTTGACTGACAAATATAGCAGTATTACTTGGTCTCCTTGTGTAGCACATTGCATTAATTTGACGTTGAAAGACATAGTTGAGATGAGTCATATAGTCAACCTTTCGACACGTGCATCTGAGGTTACAAAGTTTGTGTATAATCATTCCTTTGTGCTAGTTTTGCTGAGGAAAAAACAGGTTATATACTTTTACTTCATATGTTTATAATTTACATTGTCAAGACATATTATATATGTACACTTTTTAATAATTTACTAAGTACTAACATCTATTGTCTATCACTTGAATAGGGTTGGATAGAAATTATACGCCCAAGTTCAACCCATTTTGCCACTACTTTCATTGCATTGAGCAGCCTACATCGGCACAAACATGACTTGCAATCTACAGTGACAGATAGAACTTTTGTGGAGTCTCGATATGCAAAAACTAATAAAGGCAAAGCCTTTATTTCCATAGTTCTAGATAACCGGTTCTGGGATGACATTGGTATAATTTCCAAAGTTGTGAGTCCATTGATGCGTATGCTTCGGATTATAGACTCAGATGAGAGGCCTTCAATAGGATATGTGTATGATGGCATGTACAGAACGAGGATGGGGATCAAGAAGCTGTTTAAGAACAAAAAAAAATTGTACAAGCCTTATACAACAATTATTAAGAAGCGTTGGGATAGGATGTTGCGCCATGATATTCATGCAGCAGCATATTATTTGAATCCTGCTTTCAAATATGACGAAGATACTTTTTCCAAAAAACCTGAGGTCATGTATGGTTTTCTTGACACTATTGACAATAAAGCAGGTGCATTCAAAATGAGCAAGACAAAGTTACTAGAGGAGAGTAGATTATATCGAGACCGTCTGGAAAGCTTTTCTCATGAGCTTGCTCTTCAAACTTGCAAAACTACACGGCCGGGTATGTAATAGTTATTAACTTTTTAAGTCTAATTTTTAAGTTATAAAATTGTGTTTATTTCTTATGTAATTTATACTTTTATTCTCAATTAGATGAATGGTGGAGGACATTTGGCTTTAGTGCTCCAAATTTGCAAAAGTTTGCAATCAAAATTCTAAGTCAAACTTCGGCCTCTTCCGGATGTGAGTGAAATTGGATGTTTTTGAACACATACATACTAAAAAGCGGAACAGATTGGAGAATCCACGGTTGAATGATTGGGTTTTCACTCATTATAACTTGCATTTGCAAAATAGGTATAAAGCCTTCTTCATTTTTTTATTTTTATTGATGTCTTTATTGGTCATGATTTGAATATTTAATTCTTCTATTTCAGGGGTTGTTACAAGAAAATTACATATGATCCTATTGATTATGAGAGTATTGATAAAACTGAATGGTGGATAGTTGATGAGGAAGAGGAGGTTGGTGAGCTTAATTACGAAGAATTGGAACAATCATTATATGGAGAAGGAGCTATTCCTATAAATGGTGGTGAATCTGGTGATCACCTTTCTTATTATAACTCAGCAGATGCTTCAGAAGGTTATTTACAATTTTTTAAGCAATTTCAATTTGGTATTATCTAGTTTATATTCAATTAGTTTAAATAGGAAAATTTAACTTATGGTTTTCTTTTCTTGTTAGAATTTTTTATAGATGATGTTGTCAATGTTAATAATGATGGCGATCCTCTACCAGGTGGTGTGTGAATTATGAATTGTGAATTTTAATTGAGGATGGAATGATGGATTGAAGACCATTCGGTGAAGATCATTTTTGGTTAGAATGTTGAAGTGTTGATTTGGAAGTTGAAAACTTGAAACAACTATTATGTGATTTTTGATTTTTCTTCATTTATTTTGTTATTTTGATTTGAAATTTGTTGTATTATTGATGTAATGATGTATGATAATGCTTTGTTAAGGAGTTTTTATACTAGAATTTATGATTTGGAGCAAAATTTGGGAAATACAGGTTCTGTGAACAGTGTTTGCATGATGTCATCATGTTGATGTCAATATGATGATGTCACCGATTGAACCAACTGGTTCAACCGGTTAAACAGGTCGACCTAGGACCCGACCATCTTGCCGGGTTTTGTCCCGGGTCGATTTTTAAAACATTGCTTAAAACACTTTTCGTTTTGTCCCGGGTCGGTTTTTAAAACATTACTTAAAACACTTTTCACCGTAAACTGTCTCTCTATGCGAACGACAACTTCCCACCCAAAGTTTGGCCTAACAACAGGGTGCCACCCGAAAAGTTTCAAAATGACAGTTTCCCACCCATCCATCCAATTTCTCCGTTAATTTCAACTACAAAAGGATAGAATGGTAATTTCAAAAAACAAATTAAAGGATAATTATGTCCTTTTATCCCCAATATATAACCTTGAAAAACAAAACCCCAATTTTCTCTTCTTCTCTTTCCTTTCTCAATCGCACCAGGCCGCTTTATGTCTTCACCTTCTCTTTTCTTTTCTTTCTTCTTTTTCTCTCTTCCTTTTCCTTTTTCTTCTCTTCTTATCTTTCCTCACTGTGGCAGTGGCCGTTGCTAGCCAGATCTAGACGACACATGAGGCCCTTGCATTGGCCCAAGAGACACATGTCGGCTTGATTTGTCCGACCGAGAAGCTTTATTTGTCGGCCAAACTGAGTCAAAGCCAACTTGACCGAGAGAAGACTTGATTATTTGATTGCTTTTTTTTATATGATTTTTCTTGATTGATGATTGTTATGTGTTGCGGTAATTGTGTTGAGAAAGAATTGAAGTTTGGTGGTGTGTTTGGGATGGGTTTTGCTTAGGGGAAGAGGTGACTAAGCGGCCACGTGTATTTCCAGACGGTGTCAAAACTGTGACTTCGGTGGTGGGGGAGATAATCGGGTTAATTGAATTGACATTAAGATTAAGAAGGAGATTGAACATGACGGCTTGAATAAAGGCCATGTGTCACCCTACACGCCCCATTTAGTTGATGATAATGATGATGATCATGGTGATGATGTGGATCCTTATGGCAGTTTGTGATGAACAGGAAAGAACTCTTGAAATTAAAGAACATCTTGATTCTTGAAGATCCTGATAATTTTTTTTTTTTTTTTCATTTCAAGTTTTTGTTTTTATGAATTTTACAAGATGAGTTTGATTTTGTTTTTTATTCAATTTGAAGATTCTTCGATTGATCTGCTTCTAAGTTTGGCAGACATGGATATAACATACAAAGTTTTAAAATTAATTTTTTTATGGGAAAACTTTTGTTTTTGTTCTTGTTTGTTCAGTGATTGAAGTTCAAAACTTGATCATAATTTGAGTTGGGTGGGTTTGTGAATCAATTGAGGAAGCATTCATCAAATCATGTCAGAAGATTAGTGAAGCATCTTGTTAGGTTACCAAAATTTAAAAAAAAAAAAAAAAAAAAAAAAAAAAAACTGAATTTGTCATTTTTTTCCTTCTGTAGTTGAAATTAACAGAGAAATTGGATGGCTGGGTGAGACTCTATCATTTTGAAACTTTTCAGGTGGCAACTTGTCGTTAGGCCAAGCCTCGGGTGGGAAGTTGTCGTTCGCCCTTAATTTTATTAAGCATCTATTGTCCTCCTACCAAGAAAATTAAAATTAAATTAGAAAATAAGAGAGAAAAGTTTATATTGTATTTGTTTAATGAATCATTGGAAACATTGGCTCACATTATTAAATTTAGTCCTCATTTCTTTACCAAAATGTTTGGCGCATTAACTAGCACTAATTAACTTATAAATTAGACACTAGGCATCCTTCTCAGTTTTTAAAAAGTACCTGTGGTTTCTTTTCCCATTCTTCGGGCTTAAGTGGATTTTAATTAAGAAAAACCAGGTGCGCTTTACCAGAATTTCTTTGTCGTCATGTTCCTAAAAACCCATTTTGTCCTCACTGACTAAGACTAAACAAGAAGTTCTACAAGGACATTCAAGTCATATTACATGAATTTCCCATCTACCGACTCAAAAATCCATTGGCTTTGTTATTGCTAAAACCACCGGCAAAAACTACAGCCATTGGTTTTATTTCCAAAACATTTGGCTTTATACTATCCCAGCGTCCCTCCCTATATAAACAAGAAACCTCGTGCCAATTAGGCCATCGGAGTACAAGAGTCTTTACAAAAGAACCAGAGAAGATTTTCTGAAGAAAACATTGAAGATGAGTTCAAAAAGCAAAGCTTGGATTGTGGCAGCCAGTGTTGCAGCAGTTGAAGCCTTGAAAGATCAAGGGTTCTGCAGATGGAACTACACCATCAGATCATTACACCAACATGCCAAGAACAATATCAGATCAGTTTCTCAGTCGTCCAAGAAGTTGTCTTCTTCATCTTCTGCTGTGGTTTCAAGCAAATTAGCAGATCAGAAAACAAAGCAATCTGAGGAATCTTTAAGGACAGTTATGTACTTGAGTTGTTGGGGTCCCAATAACTGAGCTCATCAAGAGTTGCAGTGAGTTTTGAAGGCTTGCATGAGGAATCAACGAATTATAGTTATAGATTCGAATTTGTCACTCTCATGTAGTAGTTATAGATTCATGAGATGGTAGATATCTGTGTTACAAGTAATTGTAACTTGTAAATTGTTTATATACACAAATTGAGAGAATTATTTGCACCCATCTTCGCTCCGAGTTTCCATTTAATTTGTTCAGTATCTATGCTTATCTCTAACCCAAATTAGATCATAAAAGAGAAGCTTTATAATTAAAGCATAATAGATGAGTTCTGTCCGAGGAGCATAGCATGGATGATGGTCCATGGATGGCAGCAGCCAGTATCACTTGCAGCAATTATAGACGCCTTGAAAGATCACGTGATTTTATAGTGATCACGTAATTAACGCAGAGTTGGACATTATAACTGTAAGTCTGTAACTAACTATCATGTACATGGAAGATTCATCAATTTTGCTTATAAAAACATGATTTACCTTGAGACTTTATTTTGTTTATTGCCTTCATGCTATAAAGTTGATTCACATGACTGGTCAAGGCATGACTGGTCAAGGAGTCTAAACAGAACTTCTCACTAGTTAATCTTGTGGGTATTGCTCCGTAATTCTGAACAAGCCTTTAATTAGTACAAGTCATCATCAATAGAAGTGATTAATATTAAGTTGGCTCCCCGTAAGAAGTAGAGAAGGTAAAGCAATACATGCACTGAAGCAAATATATTAAGGCTAAGTGAGTGCCAATTAATTTATTGTAAGTTTAAGCCAAAAGGAGAGGAAATTTAACTCCCGACTTCCAAGTTTGCATTTAACAAAATGACCTGAAAATCTTTTTGATTTTTTTTTTTTTTTAATTTAGAAAAGCTGACGTGCTACACTTAAGATTCATTAAACATGTAAAATAGATTAAACTAAAAAGATTTAAACATATGTGGGTAAAATCATAATTAACGAAAGTTGTTTAAATTTTGAAATTTAAAAATGAGTCCCCACCCTTCAAAATCGCTTAATCGAGCCATATACCCAAAAAACGATCGATGAATACTATTCCTTTCTCTGCGATTTCTGGCAACTACAGTGCCTAAATTTCAGCAAATTTTCAATCCTAAAGCTTCCTTACACAAAACCATGGCTGACATTCACAAAGAGGAGGAAAACCCAACCCCACTTCAAATCCTAGACTCTAGAGGCGCCAGTAGTTCAAAGGTTGTCGAAGATGACGTTCTGGTGGATCATCCAATGAGTGAAGGTGGTCCACAGGCAGAGGAGATGATGGCGGCACAAGAAAAAAGAGAAGAATCGGAAAACGATTCTGAAGAGGAGGACGCCGGCGAGAATTCAGGCGAGGAGGAGGACGCTGGTGAAGAAATGGTACATTTTTTACTTGTTTTTTTGAATTGGATGAGAAATGGATTGATTTGTTCGAATTTGGGGGAGATGTGGTTGTGGAGTTTTGTCGAGCAGTTGGCGGGCATTGGTGGAGTGGCTTTGTTTGGGTTCCAGAGGATGGGGGAAGGCAAGGGGGGCCGTAGGGAGGTTGTTTCAAGGAGTTCGGTGGGCTGGGGATGGCAAGAGGTGGCCGAATTTGGCGGGCTAAAGGGCTGCCCTGCATATTGGCAAGGTTGGCCATGCACAACTTGCATAGCACGCACGAGGCCAGCCTTGCCAATATGGGTTTGCATGATTGTTGGCTATGATTGTACCAAACAATCATGCAAGCCCTACTGTAGGGCTGTAGGGGTTGCATGATTGTTTGCAGGGCTAGCTATGATTGTTGTGTTAGAAGTGTTAAATTGCAGGGCTGGCTATGATGCATTAGATTTTTCATTGTTTTATTATATAACGGGCAAATTACCTCCATTTTATTAAGTATTTTAAGATTATTTGGTAACCTTATTTTTGCTCTTCCCAATCCACTTTCAACAACTTTCTTCCTCCACCCACTCACCAAAATATTCAACACCCAAAACAATTTGTCCCATGTTTAATAATAGCTAGTGCCTATAATACAAGAAAAAAAATATTATTAATTGATGTATTAAGAGTTGAAAGATTTTAAAAAGCATCTGTAGAGTCGCTTGAGCAATCCGGTGTATTGCTTAAGCGATCTGGTATATCGTTTACTGGATCGCTTAAGTGATCTTATGTCATTTACCTGATCACTTAAGCGATCTGCTACTATACACCAGAGTTATAACAGATCGCTTAAGCGATCTTTTGCCATATACATGATCGCTTAAACAATCTATGAACTGCTGCATTATACCAGACATACCAGATTACTTAAGCGATCCATCATATCCATAACACATTTTCAGTCATCTCCACCTATAATTGGTGCTACTACTCCAGCTACCGACAATGCAAGAAAATATTCAACAAATTTCACTCCTTTCAACTTCCATTACATCAAACACAACTCAACAACCTAAACAACTAAATCAAAATCATAACCCAAACCCAATCTATCATTAAATCTTTGTAAATCGAAATATAAAATGGAAAGGGGAGATACACATACCTGGACGAAATGTTAGGAGGAGGAGGAGGATCTGTGGCGGAGAAGATGTTAATGGCAAAGGAAAAGGATAATGTTAATGGCAGGAAGAAGAAGATGTATAGGACAGAGGAAGAAGAAGATGTACAGGAAGAAGAAGATGTAGACGAAGAAGAAGATGTAGAAGAAGAAGAATAAGATGTAGACGAAGCTTACAAGAAACAATAACCAGGTGAGGAATGCGTTAATGTAGCAGGAGGAAGAAGAAGAAGGTGTTTGGGTTTGTTTGCAAGAATTTCGGCTCTTTGGGGACATATTATAATTTTTAAAAGATTATACAATACTTCATTAATCCTAATTAACCCCTAATCATGTTTAATTAACCTTAATAAAAAACAAGGCTCTTTACTTAACACTTACAAACTATATAGCCTTTTAATTAAATTTTAACTTCATATGACTTTTTAATAAAATGTCCCCCAAAAGGATGAAAACTTGAAAACAAATGCAACAACCCTCAGTACGACATAGCTCTTAACTAAGCATATATTAACCGTAGCCATTAGTCGGCCTTTTTTTTTTTTTTCCCCTTATTTTTCTCCCAAAAAGATAAATGAATAAGGAGTAAAAGACATTTACCCACCCAAGGTTTCATAAATTTTAAATTTTTACCTAATTTAAAATTTTAAACATTAAATTTAACAGTTAAAAGGGTATTTAAGTCTTTTTATCCAAAAAGGAGTAAACCCTAATCTCTCTCACTCTCCCAAATTAGTAAAATTTTAAAATAACCCTCTATATCTCAAAATTTTCTCATAACCCAACCCTTCCTCTCTGTCTCCAACTCCACCACCACCACCACTGCCACCAACACCACCGGCAACCAAATTTGGCTGCTGCGGAGAAGAGGAAATGAGAAAAAGAAAAGAGAGAAGAGAAAGAGGCAGAGAAGAGATAAGGAGAAAGACAGAGAGAAAGAGGCAGAGAAGAGATAAGGAGAAAGACAGAGAGAAAGAGGTGACAATGGCTAGATCTGGCTACTGAGATCTAAATGTTGCGGAGATGAGGAAATGAGAAAGCGAGAGAGAGAAGAGAAGAGAGAAAGAGGTGGAGAAGAGATAAGGAGAAAGAGAGAAAGAGGCAGAAAAGATCCTGACGACTAGATCTGACCGTCGCGAAGAAGGTGAAGGTTGAAGAAGAGAGTGTTATTGAAATAAATTTGAAAGAAAGTTGAATATTTTGTTAATTCTATTAATTTGAGGGTTAGAAATAATTGATTAATTTACTCATTATTATAATAAGGGAAACAAAAAAAAAAGAAAAAAAAAAAGGTATTTGACAAATCAAATTGGTCAAAGCAAAATTTACCTTAACGGAGTTTAAAATAGAGTGAGAACTTACCATTTATGAAACCACGGGTGAAAAGTTGTTGATTCGCCCATCCTTGGGTGGGTAAATGTGCTTTACTCATGAATGAAACGAAAAGTAATGTTCAATGAATCATGGAACTATGGCCATCTCGGGTATTTATTTCAGTCCTATCCTCTTCTCTATAATTTAAGACTATCTATAATAAATAACTGATAGCTTAGCCACGTGTCCACGAGGCACCGTTTGCCAGCCCCACATGTTAAAAGAACCGGTGGTTTTCATTCCCATACTTTGGGCTTAAGTGGTTTTTAGAAAAGTAAAAACAGGAGCGGGTTGCCAGAATTCCTTTGTTGTGATCCGGCCAAAACCCCATTTTGTCCCTTATGAATGTGCGTGACCAAGGGATCGTACAAAGGACATCGAAGTCATATTACCACAAATTCCCCACTTACCGGCCCAAAAATCCATTGGCTTCGTCACTGATAAAACCACCAGCAAAGCCTATAGCCACTGGTTTTGTTTACAAAACATTTGGCTTTCACTTCATGCTGTCTTAGCATCCTAAAACGCTATATAAACAAGAAAACTCGTGCCATTTACTCCATCACAATAATACAACATAGTGTGTTTACAAAGATCAAAGAGAAGAGTCAAAGATTATCTGAAGTATACTTTCATTGAAGATGAGTTCAGCAAGCAGAGCTTGGGTAGTCGCAGCCAGTGTTGCTGCAGTTGAAGCCTTGAAAGATCAAGGTTTCTGCAGATGGAACTACACCATTAGATCATTACACCAACATGCCAAGAACAATATCAGGTCTGTTTCTCAGTCGTCCAACAAGTTGTCTTCGTCATCTTCTGCGGTGGTTTCAAGCAAAATAAGAGAACACAAGGCAAAGCAATCAGAGGAGTCTTTAAGAACAGTCATGTACTTGAGCTGTTGGGGTCCCAATAACTAAGCTGATCATGAGAGTTGCTGTAAGTTTTGAAGGTCTGAATGAGGAACCAAAGAATTTTAGTTATAGATTCGAATTTGTCATTCTCGTGTAGAAGTTATAGATTCATGAGAGAGTAGATAAATATCTGTGTTACAAGTAATTGTAACTTGTAAATTTTGTATATATACAAATTGAGAGAATTAGTAGCACTCATCTTTGCTCCGAGTTTCCATTTAATCTGTTCAGTACTCGATGCTTGTCTTTAACTTAAAGATCATAAAAGAGAAGCTTTATAATTAAAGCATAATAGATGAGTTCGAGGAGCATATATTAGCAGGGATAACAGCAGCCAGTATTATTTGCAGTAGTTGTTGATGCTAACGCCTTGAAAGATGAACGGTTCTGCAAAGTGCAAATGGTACCGTGCGATAAGATCATTACAACATTCAAAGAACAATGATGAGTGCTGATGATTTTAGTCAGATTTCTTGGTTAATTTTTCTTCTGGTTCAAGTTATTTAATACTGATCATTTAAGGAAGATTTAATCAATTTTATAGCTGTAACTAATTAGGCAAAGTACAAGGAAGATTCATCAATTTGTGAATCATGCATATATAAGGTGGACTACTACTTTAAGCTTATAAAAACATGATCTACCTTGAGACATTATTTTGTTTATTGCCTTCTTGCTATAAGATTGATTCACATGACTGGTCAAGGCGTCTAAAAAGTCTTGTGGGCGTTGCTTCATAATTCTGAACAGTGGTCTTGTGGGCGTTGTTTCATAATTCTGAACAAGTCTTTAATTGGTATAAGTCATCATCCAAGAATGATTAAATATTAACTTGGTTCCTCATAAGAAGTGAAGAAATTGAAAAGCACTATGTGCAGTGAAGCAATATAAGAAGGCTAAGTGAGTACCAATTCAATACGGTAAGTTTAAGGCAAAAGGATGAAGAACTTGAAAACAAATTAATGCAACTACTCTCAGGAATAGCTCTTCATTAAGCATAATTTAACCGTAGTTACTAGTCTGGCCTTTTTTTTTTTTCTTTTTCTTTTTCTTTTTTCTCTAAAAAAGATAAATGAATAAAAACGAAAATAAGAAAAGCCATGTGCAACTTGTTGATAATGATACATGTTCAATGAATTATAGAATAATAATACCATGTGCACCGACTAATATGTACCGATCCAGTATTAATATTTAAAATTTAAAATTTTTAAGTAAAAAAATTTAAATTTTTAATATTAGTATTTAGTTTAGTACGATTAATACAGATAGCATTACTGATAATAGAATTATGGCCCATCTCATCTGATATTATTTAGTTCAGTCCTATCCTCAGACTATCGTACTAAAAGCTTAGAACTTAGCCACGTGTCCACGAGGCAACGTTTGCTTTGCCCGCGTTATAAAAGAACCGGTTTTCACTCCATACTTCGGGCTTAAGTGGATTTTTATAAAGAAAACAAGGAGCGCGTTGCCAGAATATTTTTGTCGTGATCCATCAAAAACCCCATTTTGTCCCTGTTGAATGTGCGTGACCAAGCGATTATATAACGGACACCGAAATCATATTACACAAATTCCCCATCAACCGACTCAAAAATCCGTTGGCTTCGTTACTGATAAAACCACCACAGACAGTGGTTTTGTTTTCAAAACATTTGGCTTTCACTTCATACTATCCCAGCGTCCTATAACTCTATATAAACAAGAAAACTAATTCCATTTACTCCATCACAACATAGTGTGTTTACAAAGAACAAAGAGAAGAGTCAAAGAGTATCCGAAGAATACGTTAATTGAAGATGAGTTCAGCAAGCAGAGCTTGGATAGTAGCAGCCAGTGTTGCTGCAGTTGAAGCCTTGAAAGATCAAGGATTCTGCAGATGGAACTACACCATTAGATCATTACACCAACATGCCAAGAATAATATCAGGTCAGTTTCTCAGTCGTCCACGAAGTTGTCTTCTCCATCTTCCGCTCTGGTTTCAAGCAAAATAAGAGAACAGAAAACAAAGCAATCTGAGGAATCTTTAAGGACAGTCATGTACTTGAGCTGTTGGGGTCCAAATACCTAAGCTGATAGAGGATCGCAGAGAGTTTTGAAGGTTTGAACGAGGAGGATTCAGACAAATTATAGTTATATATTCGAATTTGTCACTCTCGTGCAGTAGTTAGAAGAATTACTAGATGGCAGATATCTGTGTTCCAAGTAATGGGAACTTGTAAATTGTTAAAGCAATATATACAATTTTTGAGAATTATTAGCCCCTATCTTCATTTTGAGAATTCCGTTTATTTGTTTCAACCTGTCTATCTTTAACCCAAAGACTTTAAATTAAAGCATAATAGTTGAGTTCTGTTCGAGTAGCATAGCATGTGTAGAAGCCCAAAACGTGATGAACGAGAGAGAGAAACTGAAATATACTTTTATTAATCTAATGACTCAATTACAAACATAAAACTTTCACCCTTTTTATAGTAGAAGACCAAATCTAAAACAAATTTTATTCCTAAATTAAATAAAAGAGAAATTCTTCCTAAATAACAAATCTCCTAAAACAGTTACTTTTAAACAGAAATTTACGAAAATCTAAAGGTATGCGTTAACCTGTCCCGCGGCATGCGTTAACCTGTCCCGCGGCATGCGTTACCCTCTTTCACGTTTCTTCTTTGTGCCACGGCATGCCCGATTCTGGAATTTTTCCAGATTTTGGCGTCTATCTGTGCGCGGCACACTCTTCTCTGGCCACAAATCTGCCTTCTTCCTCTTCAACACTGCAGCCTTTGTTTCTTCAACTTGAGCCATGTTTACATGCACCAATATAGGTTCAACTCTTAACAGCATGGATGACGGTAGCCAGTATTACTTGCAGCAGTAATGAAGGCCTGGAAAGATCAAGGGTTCTTCAGATGTTCCATGCTATAAGACCATTAAAACAACATTCAAAGAACAAAGTTAATAAAATATTTGTTCTAGAAGTTAACGGGGATGGAACATTTGCCAAAGCGGCCGTGGTTTGTTCACATCGATGTATTGATCGTAGCAAATTGATCATTGATAAAAACTGTTATTCTAATGGCATGAGCCTTGTCAATAAGTACAGATGACTTTAATTAGTCAGCTTTCTAGCTTAACTCTTCATTTAATTCAAGTTATTTATACTGATCATTTAAGGTAGATTTTGACAATATGTTAATTTGTACATAACTAGCTAGCTAGTTAGGCATTTACATGGAAGATTCATCTATTTGTGAATCGCATGGACTACAACTTAAGCAAATATGAAAACATGATCAACGCCTTGAAACTTTATGATGTTTATTGCCTACTTGGTAAAATTGACTCATATGACTCGTCAATTAGTTTAAACAGAGCTTCTCACTAGTTTCATAATTCTAAACAAACCTTTAATTATATTTTACGAAGTCATGATCCACGGAACCCCATTACAAGTACTGGAGAAGAAAGAGAAGGTCAACCAATATATTCGATCTAATTATTACTGTATAAATGTTTATGCATAGGGAAAAGTGAGTACTAAATCAAATATGATTAACCTTGAGCCTAGAGGATAAAGAACTTGAAAACAAATGCATCAACTCTCAGTAGAAGTGTAGAATTGTCAAACCACAACTTGTTTTACTTCAAGAGATCTTGATTAAGCATAAACTAACCGTAGTCAATAGTCAGGTTTGTTTTAATTTTTATTTTTTTATTAATAAAAACGAAAATAAGAAAAGACATGTACAACTTGTTGATATGCGTTCAGTGAATCATAGAAATATCATTGGCTCGTGTTATTTAATTCAGTCATATCCTATCCTCTGCTTAATAGACTACTTGTACTAAATAACTTAGACACGTGCGCACGAGGCAACGTTTGCTTTCTCCTTGTTTTAAAAAAACCGGTGGTTTTCACTCGCGTACTTCGGGCTTAAGTGTATTTTTATAAAAGGAAAACCAGGTGCGCGTTGCCTGAAATCTGAATTTCTTTGTCGTGATGTATCCAAAACCCCATTTTGTCCCTTTTGAGTGCGCCTGACCAAGCGATTATACAAGGACATTGAAGTCATATTAAACAAATTCCCCACAAACCGACCCCAAAATCCATTTGCTTCGTTTTTTATAAAACCACCAGTAAAAGCTGAAGCCACTGGTTTTATTTCCAAAACATTTGGCCTTTCACTTCATACTATACCAGCATCCTAAAACTCTATATAAACAGAAAACTCGTGCATTCAGGACATCACAACATAGTGGGATTACAAGGATCAAAGAGAAGAGTCAAAGAACGGTGTCTGAAGAATACATTAATTGGAGAGATGAGTTCAGCAAGCAGAGCTTGGATAGTAGCAGCCAGTGTTGCTGCAGTTGAAGCCTTGAAAGATCAAGGATTCTGCAGATGGAATTACACCATTAGATCATTAAACCAACATGCCAAGAACAACATCAGGTCTGTTTCTCAGTCGTCCAACAAGTTGTCTTCTTCATCTTCTGCGGTGGTTTCAAGCAAAATAAGAGAACACAAGGCAAAGCAATCAGAGGAGTCTTTAAGGACAGTCATGTACTTGAGTTGTTGGGGTCCCAACTAAACCCTTACCTGTTTGAGTGAGGAATCAGATCACTTAATAGTCAGTTGTAGATTTTATCAGATGGTAGATATTTGTTGCCACTGTGATTGTAACTTGTAAATCGTGAGAGCAGTTTCTCCATTATATACGAATTAACTCAATTTTTTGACAATTGCATTCTTCCTCTCGATCATATTTTTTTTTATATCAGTTAAAATGGGATAATATTGCTGGGAATTTCCCTGATTCTGTTTTGTCCACATCAATATATGGGCTACCTGATATCTTTGGCGGTGGCAATACGAAGAGGTTTCACTGTCTGGTGCTAATGGCAGCAAAATGCACTGATAGATGAGATGAGATGACTAGTCTCCTAAGCCTGTTAATTGAACTATGTAAATGAAATTTTATACATAATAAAATACAAATCAAGAAATCTTAAAACCGCTGAACTGTTGAGAAAATTAGGAATTTAGTGTTACCCACCATCATTGAAATGCTTAACACGCTAGAAGAATTTATTCAAGCCTCTCCAAGCCCACTGCCAGCTCTTACAAAAGCAAATTTCATTGTGTTATGGGCCAGACTGGGCCTCATGTTGGCTTTAGCCTTAAAGGATGGGGCCAACCAAGCTTGGACAAATCTCAAAGGCTTAAATCTCGCATTGCATCCTAGCTCTAAAAGACTAAATTATTCACCAAAAACAAAACGATCGAAACTGTTTCCTTAAATCTGGGCTCAAAAGTAGCGAAAGACACCACTGGTAAAAAGGAGCCAGAGCCTTGGTTTGGCCAAAACCAGAAGCCGTAGGTGTAACTGCCCCTCGGCCCCTCCTCCCATCACCTTATATAATAAGTTGAGTTAGCAGCTCTCCACAAAATAGTTCATCCCCTTTCTCCAGAGTACAGTACTGAGAGGAAAAAATGAGTTGGAAAAGCAAGGCTTGGGCTGTTGCAGGAACAATTGCAGCTTTGGAGGAGTTCAAAATAGAGAAAAGGAGCGCTTGTAATTCAACCATACACTCTCTCCACCACCAACATCTCATTACCAAAATGGGGCAAGTGTCTTCTCAAGTGGAGAGATCACCACCTTCATCATCCTCATCAACCAAGAGGAGCAAGCGAGAGCAATCAGAAGAGTCGTTCAGGAAAATCATGTATTTGAGTTGCTGGGGACCCAACTAGAGTTAGAAACAAAATTAGAGAAATAGTGTAAGAAAATGTGTACCCTAGACCTGATCTCTCTATAAAAAGCAAAATGTGCATACTCATAGTCACCTAAAATCAGGAAAGTATTTCATGCATGCGCCGAAACTTGAAATTTAAAAGATGTGATGATGATTTGATCAATTGCTTTCAACTAAACACATCTCACTCATAGTAACGTTTGATTACATGCCATATCTTAGAATATAAATCAAATCTATTCCAGAAAAAAAAAAAAAAAAGGAAAAATAATTGAATGCATATAAATAAAAAGTGGAATTTTGTTTTTCTTATAATGGATGGATGTCGTATAAATTCTAAGATGTAGACATATAGATGATCATGTCAAAGACAAATTCCTCTCTCTCTCTCTCTCTCTCTCTGTTTCCTCTGATTTGAATCAGCGAACATACTCAAACGTGTTCGTTAATCTACAATATCCAACATCCTGTTCAGTCAAATCTCAAGTCATAGCATCAACTGATTATACAAAAAAAAAAATGTAACTAAGTGTATTATCAACAAATCAGAGCTAGTTTGTATGGAGATAGATAAGTAAAACTATAATAAATAATAGGAAAGACTGAAGCAATAAGATTAATATGGTGATTGGTGGGTCCAAAATTGATTGACTGCGTCAAAGATATGAGAAGGGAAAGTGACTTTATGCAAAGGGTGTTTGATTATACCCAAGCAAGTTACTTATTGCCCAATGTGTTATTGGAGGTTAAATAATAATTGGGTGAGGCTGTGGATTGGGTAAAAAAAAAAAAAAAAAAAAGAACAGATGCTTTATGCAAGAGGGCCACATGGAGAGTATCAGTCTTGTTATCTTAATGTCACCTCAAAGAACATGTTCTAACATCATAACACATTATGCTCTCATCCCTACTTTTAATTTAATTTAATGTAGTTTATTTCTATTATTTTATCAACTTTCTTCTATTCTTTTTAAGGTAAAGTTATTGGACAAATCCTGTTGCCCAAAATTTTTCTTTTGGCTTAATTAGGAGAATCTGTTTTTGAGTTTGAATTTGTTTTTTTAACAAATTAATTTCAATTCATTTTAGATCTTACGTATTTAGTAAAATAACGTGGGTATTGTATCAAACAAACAAATCTGATTGAATAAAAACGATAATAATATTCACTAATTTGCATTTTATATTTATTTTTAAATTTCTCAGCCCAATCTGGGTCACTTCTATTGAGGGTAATTTCAAACTAATTTCTCTAACTTGTTTTTCAAAATTTTGTTCTTCAATAATATGGGTTATTTGTTAAAACAAAAAAAAAAAAAAAAAAAAAAGCAGTTTTAATTTTGTTTAGAGTAATTTAATTTTGTTACTTTTTCCTGTAAGAGCAATGAAAGAACATCCCCCAATTTAAAAAGCCCAGGAATCGATATAAAATGGGACTCGAAATGTTCACATCAAATTAAAAAAAAAAAAAAATCTAAAACTTAAAACTTTGAGATCCAACAGCAGCACTAAGCTATGCCAGAGAGAGTAAAAGTAAAGCACCGCCAGTTTCAATAATCAAAAAGAGGCAGTACTGCAAGGAAAGGTCATATTTATACCCACATAACATAAACCATTTTTGCCATTTGATACGATAAAGAGCTTTCACCAACACAGACAGACAAGATAATTATAAAATTTTTATATATAAACAAACCCACATATCCATTTTTAATAATCAAACAAAATAACTAAAAAAAAAAAAAAAAGCACCATGGCTGTTGATGAGCAGAAATCAAGCTCTGGGCCTGAAGGCAAGGTTTGGAGTCTCTGTAAAATGCCGTTTTGGCAATCAAGCAATGGTTCTTCTTCTTCTTCATCATCTTCTTCAATGCATAACAACAATGTTTATCAGCAGAACAATAGTCAGCAACTTGGAGTAAGATCAACTACTCATTCTCCTAACGTTTCTACTATGGCCAAGTCTTTTCTTCCTACTAGGAGAAGACTCAGACTTGATCCTCCTAACAAGCTCTACTTTCCTTGTAAGGCCTTTTTTTATGATTTTTTATTTTATTTTATATATTGAATATGTTTTGTTGTTAAGTTTGATGTTTTTTTTTTTTTTTTTGATCTGGGTATTCTTCTTTAATCTCTCTAGAAATAAAATTTTTCTTCTTTTGGAAATTGGTAATCTGGTTCTGGAGATTATTATCTTTCCNTTTATAAAACCACCAGTAAAAGCTGAAGCCACTGGTTTTATTTCCAAAACATTTGGCCTTTCACTTCATACTATACCAGCATCCTAAAACTCTATATAAACAGAAAACTCGTGCATTCAGGACATCACAACATAGTGGGATTACAAGGATCAAAGAGAAGAGTCAAAGAACGGTATCTGAAGAATACATTAATTGGAGAGATGAGTTCAGCAAGCAGAGCTTGGATAGTAGCAGCCAGTGTTGCGGCAGTTGAAGCCTTGAAAGATCAAGGATTCTGCAGATGGAACTACACCATTAGATCATTAAACCAACATGCCAAGAACAACATCAGGTCTGTTTCTCAGTCGTCCAACAAGCTGTCTTCTTCATCTTCTGCGGTGGTTTCAAGCAAAATAAGAGAACACAAGGCAAAGCAATCAGAGGAGTCTTTAAGGACAGTCATGTATTTGAGTTGTTGGGGTCCCAACTAAACCCTTACCTGTTTGAGTGAGGAATCAGATCACTTAATAGTCAGTTGTAGATTTTATCAGATGGTAGATATTTGTTGCCACTGTGATTGTAACTTGTAAATCGTGAGAGCAGTTTCTCCATTATATACGAATTAACTCAATTTTTTGACAATTGCATTCTTCCTCTCGATCATATTTTTTTTTATACGAGTTAAAATGGGATAATATTGCTGGGAATTTCCCTAATTCTGTTTGTTCCACATCAATAAATGGGCTACCTGATATCTTTGGCGGTGGCAATACGAAGAGGTTTCACTGTCTGGTGCTAATGGCAGCAAAATGCACTGATAGATGAGATGAGATGACTAGTTTCCTAAGCCTGTTAATTGAACTATGTAAATGAAATTTTATACATAATAAAATACTAATCAAGAAATCTTAAAACCGCTGAACTCTTGAAAAAATTAGGAATTTAGCGTACCCACCATCATTGAAATGCTTAACACGCTAGAAGAATTTATTCAAGCCTCTCCAAGCCCACTTCCAGCTCTTACAAAAACAAATTTCATTGTGTTATGGGCCAGACTGGGCCTCATGTTGGCTTTAGCCTTGAAGGATGGGGCCAACCAAGCTTTGACAAATCTCAAAGGCTTAAACCTCTCATTGCATCCTAGCTCTAAAAGACTAAATTATTCACCAAAGACAAAACGATCGAAACTGTTTCCTTAAATCTGGGCTCAAAAGTAGCGAAAGACACCACTGGTAAAAAGGAACCAGAGCCTTGGTTTGGCCAAAACCAGAAGCTGTAAGTGTAACTGCCCCTCGGCCCCTCCTCCCATCACCTTATATAATAAGTTGAGTTAGCAGCTCTCCACAAAATAGTTCATCCCCTTTCTCCAGAGTACAGTACTGAGAGGAAAACATGAGTTGGAAAAGCAAGGCTTGGGCTGTTGCAGGAACAATTGCAGCTTTGGAGGAGTTCAAAATAGAGAAAATGAGCGCTTGTAATTCAACCATACACTCTCTCCACCACCAACATCTCATTACCAAAATGGGGCAAGTGTCTTCTCAAGTGGAGAGATCACCACCTTCATCATCCTCATCAACCAAGAGGAGCAAGCGAGAGCAATCAGAAGAGTCGTTCAGGAAAATCATGTATTTGAGTTGCTGGGGACCCAACTAGAGTTAGAAACAAAATTAGAGAAATAGTGTAAGAAAATGTGTACCCTAGACCTGATCTCTCTATAAAAAGCAAAATGTGCATACTCATAGTCACCTAAAATCAGGAAAGTATTTCATGCATGCGCCGAAACTTGAAATT